CTTTTTTCTAGGTGTATATAATAATATCTTATTCTTTCATTTCCATTCTGAAGTATGTAAGACAAAACCAGATAAATAAGAGAAGTTAAACTATGCCTGCCATCTGTGAGAGATTTAAGTTTTTATAATTTCAAAAATAAAATAAAATTAAAAATAAATTAAAAAATAGATAAAAACGTTTAATAATAAAAAACAGTTGCGTGTATTTAAGTATATATTATATACGTGTGTGTGTGTGTATATATATATCTTTAGCACTAATGGATATGAATATTATGATTAGAATATTAATTTTAATGAAAAAAAATAATATTTTATAAGAAAGAAAAGACAACTGTTCATCAGCACATTAACAAAAGTATGCAAAAAACAACAACAGAAAACATATTCAAATTTCTATGCTCAAGCCTGGATTTCCTTACCATATTTACTAAATAGATTTTCTATTTCCTCTTCTGACACAGAGTAAGTTAAGTTTCGCACATAAATACGGCCCGACTAAAAAAAAAATAGAAATTTGTATTATTTTAGCATAAACAAGTCATATAAATGAACCCTATGTAAAGTTAAAAAGCATTCACTAGGCAGTCTAAATCTTCTTTACAAAAACAATCTGTTTATTATTTACATCAATGGCTTTCTAAAATAACTTTTAATTGTAAAATTTTAATTTTAAACTCATAAAATCTTACCTCAGCTACAGATTCTTCAGGTTCAGTTTCAGGATTCTGAATAATAATGATAATAAAAATAAAATTATAAACCAAATATGATATTCAAGGAATGTTACATTTTAAAAGAAACAGTCATGTTTTTTTTTCCTGCATGCTAAATTAAGGTGAACCAAAACCAACAATGAAAAAATATATTTTTTTATAGTTAATAGAAACCCTCAGTGTTAAACAAAGCTTTAAACTATTAGAACAAATTACTTAATACTTAATAATACAGAAACATTTTATGAGTTCTGTCTTTAATGATTCTAACCAGAAATAAGTTTAAAAGACCGTTCAACTGAACTTTAAATAGTTACAATTGTATTAGTATACAAACAGACATTAATTGGCAATTTTAAAGTTCAGTAAATATTGTAATTTGTTTAATTTAGATGTAAGCTAGAGGACTTGAGGTCAAGCAACTCCTAGAAATATCTAGGACAAATGTAGATTGTAAATACAATGTTCCATGAAGCATTGTGAAGTTAGTTTAGTTAGAGAATGAGATGAAAGATAGTTAAGGATATAGATAAGAGAGGTTGAGTTATTTGAAGATAAAGAACGAAACAGTCAGTGTTAGCTCTCATGGTTACTATGAACAAGTTGATTTGTTTTGTGTTAGTAAATGTTATTTGAAACGTAGGTCTACAGCAATTTTGCTACAGTACAAGTATTCAAGTTTGTAGAAATGTTAAAGAAAGATAATGTCATTCATTATCATTAAGTGGACTGGACATCAAATTATTTGAGTCAGATGATATAAAAGAACCCGTCAAGAAAAGAACTACACTACAACAATACTTTGAGAAACCGTACAACAAAAAACTATGCTAGTCAAAGATCACCGACACTTACTTTCTTCTGTTTCTCACTTATGACTTGTTCAACGTCTTCTTTCCTGTTATACTTAACAACACTAATTCTTTGACCATCTGCAAAGTCCGTTCAATATTAGTGACATCTAATTACATAAAGACCAAAATGAATCTTGCTTCAAATAAAGATAGTCCTTGTGTAGCTTTACGCTTAACAGCAAACAAACAAAAAAGGAAAGAGTGGGATTTCACCCTTTAGAAACAAGTACCAGACAGAGATGATAATAATAATAGATATTATGAATAGGATTGACTTATTTGGAATGCTGGATTGTAAATTTGTGGAGGGAAAAAGGTATTGTCGGTTTGTAGCTAGATTTATTGAAGTATTTGAATAAAGAGGTCTTGGAGAAAGGTTTATCAAAGTATTTGAAGTAAATAAAAAGGCTCTGCCCACTGCAAGTACTGAAACCTGGTTTCTAGCGTTATAAGCCGCAAGACTTATTACTGATCCATCAGGGAGGCTTCTTCTCTTTAATGATAATCAGTGAACTGTAATTTCACTCAATGATTCACTATTTCTCATAGGAACAAATTTATATCTCCATTTTAACTTTTCTTTAATTTAACTTAAGTGATATAACGCTTTATCAACATTAACAATATAAAAAATTATGAATAAAGAAAGCGTTTTAATATTATGTAACAAAAATCAAATATACAGATCATTAAAACTGATTTTTCTAGAATCCCTGGGGTACATTTAAAGATTACATATATTTGTTCATACTTATGATGGTTTTATGACACGATTTAACTTAAAATAAAAAACTCTGTCTATAAAGATAATTAACTTTTTTTTTTGTACAAAGCTATACAATGGGCTATCTGCACTCTGTCTACCAGAGGGAATCAAAATCTGGATTTTGCATTGTAAGTCTGTAAACTTACGGCTGACCCACTGGGGGGAGATAATTAATAAACACAATACAATTTGGTCAGACAGTAAATAAAAGTCTTCTTTATCAACAATGGTTGCAGAGGCTACGAAACAAACTGGTTATACATCGCATAAAAAATTGGTTATAAAGTTGTATAGAAGCATTACATAACCTCACTTGTAGAAGACACTTACCAAGAAAGCCTCTATGCTTAACGAGGCCCTGCTTCATGTCCTTTTCTGTCCGAAAACCAACATAAGCAATCCCTGATAAGATGAAGATAAAAACTTTCAGTTATACTCTTTCTAAAACAAAAAAAAAACAACTGATTACTAAAAATGCATCCTGTCCAGAAATAAGATAACTGAGTTATAATAAAATTCAAACATAATAAATATGCATAAACAGTCAACTTGAAGTTAAATTAGCATCCCTAATTTCTGCACACACACAAAAAAATTAAAACTTATTCACTTAGAGCAAGAGTTACCATGTACACCTTACCTTTTACTTTTGGAGGTAATCGTAAGCTTACTGGTTTCAGTGGTTTGAAGAAGTCCCGAATATGCTTCTAAACCGTGAAATATTTCGTATTAGAAATATATACTTCATTCCAAAGGAACAACAAAGTTTAATGTTTAACAAATAAAATCTGATATTTTAAGCCAAAGATTCGTGGGCATAGAATTGTACAGGAAATAACGATATAGAAATTTAAGCCTCGTTAAAACTGTGTAACAACTTTTTTTGAGTAATGTTAGTGTTCAATCTCCGACTGGTGAAGGTTTTCATAGATTTTTTTCTCACTTAAGTGCATAGTTAACCTACTATATTTTTGAAGAATTCACTGAAAGAGTTTAGAAATTGTACTGTTAGAATTTTGTAACCATTATGAATCACTTTAAAATACATGCAAATACGGAAATTAAATAACAGTGCTGACAGGCCGAGCAAAATTTTACCCTTAATGAGAACCTTTTGGATTAATTTTTTAGGTACTGTTGTAAGAATTAATATCTTAACACTATTTATATACTCTGTGTTATAACACTGTTACACAAATTAAATTGTCCACTAAAAAAATAAAAGTACAGGGATCATTTCAAACACTATAAATAATTTTTGTAAGTACTTGGAGAAAATATAAATACTAACTAATGAAAAGAAATTCCGATAGTCCTTTATCCAATTTTGTTAAATACCTAAAGACTCGCAAAAAATATTTTATACAAGTAAATGAATTTCAATACCTACTTTTTTACATTTGTAAGGAAGCCCTCGAAGTTTTAAAGTGAATTCTTCGTGACTTGTTCCTTTTTTATCTTGTTTCTATGAGATAGTATAACATTTAAAATTATGTATAACAATTCTGCATATAAAAAAATGTCAGATTGGCAGAGAAATGATTTTAAGTTAAACCTACAACTGTCTTATGATAACCGAAAACTCGAATATTTTCTTTATCACAAACACTAATTTAATAACAAAATTAAATTTCTGATTTCAAATTTTACTTTTTCTTTATCAAAATTATAGTTTATTTTACAAAGTGAAAAATTTCTCAAAGTATTGATAACAGCTTGTTTCCATATATATTTATTTAATTTCTGTATTGCATATTGGTATATAGAAGACATATTAGTGCTGGAAATAAACAACCATATAACACCAAAATGTTGTTTTTATTTAATTAGACACTCAACGTTTTGCTTTACAGCATCTTCAGGAGTGTTCATTAAAACATAAATCAAAACTGACAGTAGAAAGCTTCAATATTAATACGTTTCTTTGTATTTTTGTTGATTTATAACAAAAATGTTATTTTGTTAAACGAACAGAACTGTTTTTCGAAGTACAAACTTTGCGAATTCTGAATTTGAAAAACTGATCATTATTACATGGTTTTGGATAACAAGTATTAAAAAAAGTCATGTCACATTATAATTTTCGGAAGTACTAAATACATTTACATTATAACAACCAAAAATGAAAATAATTTCACTCTGAAGTCTGCAAATTGATGCATTATAAAACAACATCATCTAATAACAACTCTTCTGACTTACTTTTGGACTCTCTTCTTCACTGTCTTCAAGTGAAGAACGTCCACTGTCTGTCTCGATATCATCACCACCAGCAGATGGCACCACTTTAGTTTTCAAGTACTTTATGCAAAGAAAAGTGCAGGGTAATTTCACAAAATTCACATACAAGTCGTATAACAGGCAGGTGTTTGTTTATACAGGATACTTCTGCCATTTTAAAAGATACATCAAATACAATGATGAAGAACTTACCCCCCAAAGATGCTCTTTTTACCATCATAATTCAGAACTCTTAATTAAAATATGCATACATTATATTCATATGATCAGTACAGTAAGGGAAAAAGCTTTCGTATCGAGCAAATTCTAATAATTTTTCATGTTCTGGAACTATTTTTTATCGTTTCATGATTTTAATGTTATTTTAAATGTTCAGATGACATTTTAATAACTAAACACAAACTAAAATAAAACCACTAACCAAACTCTTCGACCTAAACATTTAAAGATAACTAAAGCATGGAAATTTCAAATACCAACGGAAAGGGAAAAAATAAACAAAACATGTAGTACTTAATCTAATATTACACCACACTTACTTCTAGATCTGACAATCCTTTTGAAGTTTCTTGAACTGCTTTTACACCACATTTTTCTGTCAAGTCTGCAACCATCAATTAGTATATTATCATCCTTGTAAATTACAAATTGTAAAAGTAAACACTTTTTGTTTTAACTTGATAATCTGAAAACAAATATTAGTGGGATAATACGGAAGATAAACCAGAGCAGTAGCATAGTAGAGAATTAAATTCATGTACTGTTTAACTGTCTCTCTGTTAGAGCTCATTCTGTCTATTAATTACATTTACTGACACTGTAAAATGTAAAAATATGAGAAATATCTCCTCAAAATACGACATATTCAAGCAGTGTATATATTTCTACAACACATAAATGGAGAATATGAAAATAAAATTTACCTATCAGCAGTGAATATGAACAGACTTTACATTGATTCACTAACTTCACAGCAAACATGACAGCAATGAAGGTTTTTTTTATTAGTATCGTTTGTTTGTAATTAGGCATAATGTTACGCAATGGGCTATTTATGCTGAGCCCACCACAGGTACTAAAACACAATTATACAGGGTTCAGATGGTTTTATTGTCTTGAAATTTTTACATGTTTTACTGTAAATTCTGTTTGCTGAATCCGAAAATGATATCCATTTTTCTCCATCACGTACAGATTTTTCACATAACTAAGTACATATAAGAAAGACCACAACCTGTAGTTTTGAGACTAAAAGATGTAGATTTCACAAAAAAAATCAGGATGAATGAACAATGCACATATGCCTCTTTTTGCTACTTCTCAATATTTTTTATCTATTCTGATTTATAAGGGTTCTCTATTTATTCTAAGATTAACTATATAGTTTTCTTCAGTAGAAGTTCTCAGTTAATTGAATGTCCACCTCATGGGCGTACGTATCAAACTTATATGTGGGTGTGGTAAATAGAACTGTACCTCCCACTTATAACGGTAACACAAACAACTTTGCCCACCCAGTTTCAGATTCCAGAGTGATAAACAAAATAGATGAATCATTAATAAAATTTAGGTCCCCCAAAAATAATAAAAATAAAAAAGAAATTACATACATTTACCAGTTAATAAACCACTTTATAAGGTCTCCTTAGTCATGGTTATTGATGTTTTCTAATCTACATATTTCCAGGATGGAGTCGTATTACTTCACTGACCTGGGTACTACTACATTATTCTTTTGTAGATAATAGTTACAACTTTAGGCTATCGTCTTTCTGTTTAGAATAATTTTGCCCTGCGACTCATGTATTTATTTATTCACAAAAGTAAATGCAACTGGTAATTTGCAGCTGATTTTGTAACTAACAGGGGGAAATCATTGTCTAACGCACATGCTGCCATTAGGCCTAGCTAGGAGTCATCACCTTGTGTTTCTGGCAAGTGCACATGCTGCCGTTAGGCCTAGCTAGGAGTCATCACCCTATGTGTCTAGAAAATACACATGCTGCCGTTAGGCCTAGCTAGGAGTCATCACCTTATGTGTCTAGAAAATGCACATGCTGCCATTAGGCCTAGCTAGGAGTCATCACCTTGTGTGTCTAGAAAATGCACATGCTGCCATTTGGCCTAGCTAGTTGTCATCACCTTGTGTGTCTAGAAAATGCACATGCTGCCATTAGGCCTAGCTAGGAGTCATCACCTTATGTCTAGAAAATGCACATGCTGCCGTTAGGCCTAGCTAGGAGTCATCACCTTATGTCTAGAAAATGCACATGCTGCCGTTAGGCCTAGCTAGGAGTCATCACCTTGTGTCTAGAAAATGCACATGCTGCCGTTAGGCCTAGCTAGGAGTCATCACCTTATGTGTCTAGAAAATGCACATGCTGCCGTTAGGCCTAGCTAGGAGTCATCACCCTATGTGTCTAGAAAATGCACCACATTATGTGTTTTTCATGAAAGAGGCCAAGAAACTCCTGCTCTATAGAAGTAACAAAATTTTACTTTATTTTACGCAAATGTTTAATTTTAGAACATTGAAATTTATTTATTTCTATTGAACTATGTGTATATTTCTCCATGTCAACACTACTACAAAGCTGTAGTTTTGTGGCTGCAGAATTTGTGACACTGTTCACCTAAATAAGTAACTTGCGTATGGTAATGAATAATCAGTGACATTACCTGGCTCAACACTTGAAGAAGTAACATTTTCATTTGTTTCCTTCACAGCAGTTGGAATGTCATCACTCCATAATGGTTTTGTTGTACGATTCTTGTGAACCTCCAGAAACTCTCTAAATTCTGGATCTTCACTAAGCTACAGAAAATATTAAAGTATTAGCAGACAAATAACATTACACATCTAAATATAACAGATGACTGATTATTTGATAAAACTGATGAAACAAAATCAAAGCTATCTTTGAAAAGTAGCATATTACAAGGTTTACAAATTTTCAAATTGCTTCTACAAAATTTTCAGTCAATAGTGTTGTTACATTTCTCTCTGGATTAAAAAAAAAGATGAATTCTTATCATTTAGTTCTTTGTAAAAGTTTTAGGTGTCCATAAGATCAAGCAAACATTTTAATAAAAGTTAAAAGCTCCAAAGATAGGGAGACAATAAGTGGAACTTTGATCACAAATGACCCAAGTTAGAAGCTTGAAATTTTGTCTACAAATTAATGCAGGTTTATGAAACTAGTTACACCATCCTAAGTGAGTAACTGCTAGAGGGTCTCGTGATATAGCGATACGATATGAGTGTTGTATCATGAAGGTATGATACAATTGTATCGATACATCATCCAATACGATACAATTAATGTATCTTCATGAAATTTGGCAATCTTTCATTTCTTTTATCAAAAACATAACATGCAAAGTAACATAACAGAATAGATATACAGATATTAGTTTTTTATTTGACTTCTCTTGCCAGCTATAAATTGTGAAGTACTTAAATAAGACAGTGTTAGTAATATAGATAATAAATTACAGACAAGACTGTCAAACTTTGTAACAAACCATTGGTAAAACTTCTGTATCTAGATACGTATCGTATCGATTTACTATGATGAGATACGCACCCCTAGTAACTACCCACCACTTATAAATTTATTTATAAAATACCCTAGTAGTAATAAAGTCACTCAAGATATAAATATATACATAGATAACTATTATTTCCATAATTTATTATTAAACACAAACCATTTATAAACCATTATGAAATATCCTTATGTAGTATTTTACTGTTACTATTTCTATGACAGTTATTCTTACCCCTTCAAGTACTTTCTCCGATCTACTCTTCTCTTTTCGTTACACTTTTCTTCACCTAAATGTAAGAAAAATGTTCTAAATTTCTGCAATCAAAAATCTGGGTACTTTTTTTTTTTTACATCAACAAAAACATGGAAGACAAAACTTAAAAATTACTAAGTTAATCTTTGAGTTTTTACCTGTACACTTGAGTTTACACCATTAGTACGTTCAAGAAGGAAAACATTATAAAAGTTAACACTAAAAAAAACACACCATTAGTACGTTCAAGAAGGAAAACATTATAAAAGTTAACACTAAAAAAAACACACCATTAGTACGTTCAAGAAGGAAAACATTATAAAAGTTAACACTAAAAAAAAC